ATCAAATAATGTAAAGATGGGACTTATCTTGCTACTGTCTTTTTGTCCCCTCCCCCCTCCAAAAAAAAAAAAAAAGGGGAAAAAATATTTTTTATTAATTAAGTCTTATCAGTATAATTTTGATAAAAATACTTTTTCCAAGTTAAACAGACACCGCAATTCAACAGCAATGACAACGAGAAGACTGCAAACACTCAGTTATATATTAAGCAGACATTTGGCTAATATGAAAAAATGGTCCAGTATGCAAGCTATAGAAATCACCTAACGTACATCTTCTTTATCAGCTTTGTTCAAGTTTTTCATTTCTTTATTTCTTAGTCGAATAGACACAGAGCCTAAAGATGTAGGCACCTTTCCTTCACATCACTGCTCAGAGAAGGAACACCGTTGATCTCTTTGCTATTGCCCAAGACTTTTTTCTTCCTGGTAGCCCACAGTTAAATATACCACTAATCCTGGACAATATTCTCAGTTTCCCTAATCTAATGAAAAAATCATGACCTACCCATTCAGCCTTAGTAAATATCATGGCTTACCACCTTTTGTTGTCACTTCGGCTGTATTTATTGTGATGTCAATGAGACAAGACCTCACAGAGCATTTTTAGTGAGCAAATCTCTGAAGATGCTAAATACTTCATTAGTTAATCCCTAACAGATACATAGTGGTTGAGTAGCTACCCACTTGTGTAAAATGTAACCTCTATCCATACACTAAACTAAGTAATGTATATATGCTTACTACTGATCATGCAAAGACAACAAAAAGGTTTTTTTAAATTTTATTTTCTGTTTTGATACGAACAGAGCAGGTTTTAAAAAAAGTAAAAAAAAGATTTGTTCTTGTTGGTTTTTTGTTTTTTGGGGTTTTTTTTGGTTTTTTTTGTTTTTGTTTTTGTTTTTGTTTTTTTTATCTTGCCTTGCTATTGATACAGTTTTGAAGTTTATCATGAACAAAATCTAAATGCAGGGTCTTTTCTGTTTGTTTTTTTGTTATTTTTTTTTACCCAGTTATGATAGGAGTTAGCAATCTCCTTCAGCATCCACAGATTCAAATGTAAAGGCCAGGGATTAAGCACAGCCGATTAACAGTCTGTGTCCTCTTCAGTCTAGCATTTCCACTGTAGATAAACCCATATTCAGACTGAAGTTACAATAAACAGACTGTCCTCAATATCATTTCCCTAGATGACCTCCTCAAAACTGACATTCAAGTATTGTGGAAAATTACAGTTTATAGTAACTGGAAAAGCAACCAAGACAACATATACCCACACAAATGATTCTGAAGATCAAGCAAAATTTTAGAAAGCAATCTGGATAAAATGATAATTTTACTATAAATATTTTATTTGTCTCAGTTCTGAGTAATTTCTAATGATTATAGGTTTAACAAATAAAATAAAAGCAGTTTGCTAAATTTTGGTTTTATTGCTTGTACTGTGTATCTTTACAATAACTGCATTATTATTTATACTTATTATGACCAAAAAAAAATCTCGATGGATTATAGTGGTTGCAATTCTTTCCCTTCCAACAGCAAAGGAAAACAAACACTGAAATCCTCCAGTTACTCTAGATTCTCTGAAATGTAAGTGTTACTTTAAGGAAGGTGTCAGTACAAACCATTTGTCCAGTGAAAATAGCAAAAGAATAAAAATCCACATGGACAGAATTGAAGAAATATTCTGTTAGGTATGTGTTTTGATTTCTATCATAAATAATATTTTCACCTAAGATGAAAAAAAACCTCCTAAAAACAAAGATACTTTTTGCTTTGTAGGAACTTTTTAACATGGAAAGTTCTGACAGGAGTCTGCTGCTATTTGACATTTGAAATCCAGAATCTTATGGGTCAAAAGAAAGGCTATGATCAATACAGATATAAACTGTGTAACAGGGCTTTTTAATTTCTTTACCTAGATGCTCCAACTATATTAAGGATCTATAGAATTTTGTGTCATTTAATGTCAGTGTACTTCTTTAGACAGAAGCAGCAACATTTCAAACTATTTTATTATAAATAACTAATCTTATCTACCCAGTTAAAGGGACTGTGTTCTACTCTTATTTCCATTAGTTTATACTGGCAGAATTCCAGTGAAGCAATTCTGAAATCAGATGAATGCATGTGTGCATTTATTCTTCAATTCGTTATTCAAAGTACCTGATCAAAATTTGGGTCCCTTTGACCAAACCACACAAGTGATAAGAAACAGGTCATGCTATATAGTGCAACCCCCCCCCCCCGCCAACAAAACAAAACACCAAATCTGAGCTGTATTTTGATTAGTTATTCACTAGTATTGGTTTCAGGTAAGCACTGCATGTGAACACAGTTAATTCATTAGAGTTGTTCATCAATTCTTTTCATCAATTCTAAACATGAAATTTGAAGGTTTTTTTTTTTAAAAAAGATAGCATAAAATGATTCAGATTAAGTTTCATAGTCAGAACATTAATCAGGTTTGGATGATACCATCCACCTTTTCTTCCAGACACAAAACTGTTTCAAAACTCTTCTAAATAAATCTGTACTCGAGAAAGAATTGAAAATTGGAATTTAACTAAAAGTCACTCACTTGGAGATGTTGCTTCAAAAACTAATTTCGTGGTCTGTCTTCATAATAACGTGACTTATTTTTGCCAACTAAGGCTTATATAATGAAGCATAATGTGTTTAATCAGACTGTATAGACTACAATTTAAGGCTATTTATGTTTAGTATGATTTGGAGACACACTAACTTAGGAGATGTGATCTGTAGGTCAGTTCTCCTTAATCACCTTTATGAGCAGAAGGTTGCATATTTTCCTCACCAAAAAAGCCACGCTGAGTTATATGTAACTAGTGATAAGATATACAGCATACAATTAAAACATCATATATTCCATTTATTCATTTTTAAGTTTCTTGTTCCCCATTGAAACCTGTTAAAAATTGTTGTCATATTGTACAGGAACAATCTTGCCTTCAGCTTATCACTAACATCAAACCTTGTCTCTCATTATTCAGCTATGCATGGGTTTATTTTTTGAAGGGGATATATAAAAGAAAATGGATTCCCTTTACATGCTATTTAGCGTAAAAAAAAATCTAAAACCAGGAGGAAGAGTAAGACATGTACTTTTTGTGGAATTAAGTGGACAAAAAGGTCTACAACAGGTGAAATTAAATTTATCAGTCCTTTCTATTTTTAATCTAACAGCAAATGCCATTAGCTATTACATGCAAGATGAGGAATTTTATAGGTTGTTAGTCATTCAGCACAGAGTATTTTATTGTTATCCATTTGATATCAAGTATTCTTTTCCTAGATATTTGTATATATTTTTCCACATCTAATTTCCTGTCTTCCTTAATTAATGGATGAAACTTCTTATTACTAGATTGGAGGAATATATGAATTTATTAACACTGGGCTTTAAAATAAAACTGAGTTAGCAGAGCTGATATTCCTTCAGTGAGAACAAATAAAATCTTAACCTGAAATGCTTTCTTAGGGCAAACTTACCCTAGTGATTAATTAAAAGCTGCAGGATAAAATCCAGAACATAAACAAATTTGGGAAAGAATGATTTTTGTTATTATCCAGGGAGCGAGATGCAGTGCAATGGGACTGGAAGAGGGAAAGAACTAAGTGGAAAGGTCTGCTCTTTCGTCTACATGCATGCACACACACACACACACATACACATGCACACACAGAGCCCCATACACACAACTTTTCTTCCAGAGCACTTTTCATTTAAGCAGCTTGGTAGTATTTATGTTTGCAGAGCTCCCAGTATTCCCAAACCTTACCCCTTTATTTTTAGCTTTCAGGTTTTTGCTTCAGCTGATGAGAACAGGAAAAGAAGGTGGTATGTTTATTGCTGGCAAACAGCTTGGAAATTCTGAGTAAAGAAGCCAATCAAGGCAGAAGGATTATAATAATCAAAGTACAAAATTTGCATATTTAGAGTATGGTTACTGAGAAATAACAATGCCTTGGTTATGCAAATCAAACCCTCAGCTATCGTGAAGGGATTTGCATATCTGGGAGAAATCTGTCATGTTATGCATCGGTAACTACATTCTAAGTGGCTGAAAGAAATGGCTTTTAGCAGAATATTCAATATAATTGCCAGTAGAATTTTTTATTTCCGTGTGATATAGAATAAACTTTACTCATTTGGGGCCTGATAAAAACATGTCTTCTTGTCTGTAGGAAGCAATACCATTCAGAATCACAAAAGATACATTCAGCATGCCATAAAGCTGGAGTTTTTAAGATTGAGATCATGAAAACATTCAAAGAGCTGTGCGTTACCAATTGTGTTCATCCTTTTTGCCTATAGAAGGTGGTTTAAAGCAGCCTTCTTGAGAGAGGATTGCAGAAAACAGATGAAAGTTTAAGGCCACCTCTTCAGCTTTGAATAATAAAATCATGTTTACTTAATTTTAAATTTAGTGAATGAAGAAAAACAAGTTGGACTGAAAAGTTTCATGGGTAAAAATCCTGAAAAAAACCTGCAGACTGAATTACTGTAACAACTTTCTATTATCTATTTAAATCAAGCAGAGTTAACAGTAGGCTCAGAGGTATTATAATAAAACTAAAGAAAAAAATAATTAGATAAATCCTCCTTTAAAATTGAGTATGTGGCAGTATTTGCATGGGAAAATAAATATGTTACTTCTGGTTAATGTTTATTTCCCGTTTTCTCTCTTGTGAATGATGCCTAGCTGTAGTTCAGATGTAAACTTAAGGCTGGTTTATGCACCCTGGCCATTGCCTGCAAATAAAATTGCAGTTTGGTGTTACACTGAAACATGAGAGAGAATTCATGCAAGCATGTTCAATCTAAATATTACTTATAATGCATGTTTAGAGGCATGATCCATTTGCCCAGATAAAACATGAAGGAAACTGAGCAACATACTTTAAAGACCTGGCTACTACTTATGTGCAGAACTGGTGAATACGCTGCAGTGTGGTCCTTAAGAATTACTTACCATCCTCTGTGGGCACATAGATATTCAAATACAGGCAGTCTTCATTTTGATCTTGAACGTATGTCACCACAGTATCCAGATTGGCTGTAAACCAGACTGGTAGCATGTCATTGAGCAGTGACCTCTCATCCAGGTACTGCGGGCAGACAGCGGCAAATTGTGTGGCGTTGCGGACACCCGTCCAAGACGATGGTGGCTCCGGGGGTTGAAATCGCCTTTCCCCAGTCGGAGGAGAGGCGTAAGGAACACCCAGGTACTGCTCCACTGGACCAAGGATCTCATTGGGCAAAGGTGTTCTTAAACCACGTATTTTGCCATAATTTGTGGTAACAACTGGGTATTGTGCTTGGCCATCGATGAGTGTAAATCTTATAGCCAGTGCAGTTATCCACAGGAGGAAGTTAGAATTCAACATGACACACACTGGGGTGAAGATCAAAGGCAGCCATAGGAGTCCCATTGGTTTCGACATTATTTAAATCAACATCAGCAGGGCTCTTTTTTCCACAGCCAGCAGAAAATTAATCAGTCAAGCAAAATGAAAACTAATAAAATAAAATAGTAGTCAAAAGGAGATGAAGTAAGGGAAAACGTAACCTTGTTCAGGCAGCAAAAAACCAAAAGCTGATGTGTGGTAGGTGCCTCAGCTGACTGGCCGTAGACAAATCCCAACGTCAGAAGAAACAAGGGAGTGTTTGCTCCTAAGGCCCATCCCAGACTTCAGCGTTGGCTTAATCCTGGCAACGCACGGCACTTCCCAGCAAGTAGTGCAGGGAGAGATCCACAGTTATTCCACTTCCCCAGCAAAATGGCTCCTTCCAGTGAAGTTTAGCCCACTCAGTCAGCCTGTGGCCAAGAGAAAACAAGCAATTCAAATCAACAGACACATTCATATCGGCGTAAATTTAAAAAAAAAACAACAAAAAAACTCCAAACCAAACAATGAAATTCACACACTACTTCCCCACCAAGGCCCACAAATGTTTAATGAACTTAAGGCACCATGGTTAGCTATGTGTTTCCAAAGATACGTAAGGTAAGAGAGCTGAAAATTGAAGCCACAAACTTGTCAGAAGTTATACCGCAAACCAAACATTTCTGCTCCCATATATGCTTCCAAACCAAACCACAGCCCAAACATTGCTGCTTTCAGGAGGGGTATCACATTTAAGTGCTAGCTCCAGGGTGGTTTCTGCCCTAAATAAAGAGTATCTCCCTTTTAAGCATATTTGCACTCCCACAGCAAACATTCATTACATGTTTTGCTACATTGGATAATCTCTCTTTGTTATGATATGACTTCTGTATGTAAGTATTTTTCACAGGTATGCCTACTCTTTTGTATGACAACCTAATTTACCTCCACCTAATTCAGAAATTCCAATTAATGTAATAGCATTACATTAGTTTAAAGCAAGTCTGAGAACAGTTAGTCAAAATTAGATACAAACTTAAGGGTTTTCATATCTGTTTTCTTTGTTCTATGTCTGACAAAAAGGAACAATAGCAACTGAAAAGAAAAAAAAAAGCATGATACAATCTCTCAAAAGTCAGATTTTCACGTGCATAGTGTAGGTCAGACCTAACTACGTAACGTTACCTTCTTGCATGCTCCTACTTCTAATTTTTAGACAGAAGGCAAGTCATACAACAATTCTGTTATTTTTTAATGAAATTAAAAGTCATTCATATATATATGCTAACCATTACAAGTAGTAAAAATAAACACACAACACTGGTTAATACTCACATTTTTCTCCCTGCACAAAGAAATTGAGGAGTTCCTTTTTACCCGTTATTCAACTCAAAACGACAGGTAACAACTCCACAGCTAAAACAATCCTTATTATAGGAAACTGATACTGATACTTTTACATTTGATAGGATGAACACACATTTATATATAAAACATATATAAGTGGACTACTGCCAGGTCCTGTTTTCAGTCAGGACTCTGTCTCATGAAGATATAAAATCATTTTTCAGGAACAGAAAAAAACAAGGTAAGTAGCTATTGACAGTGATTTCAAATTACAAAACAAAACAAAACAAAACACACCCACAAAACCACCCCAAACAATGCAAAAATAACCAGAGGAGACATCTATGCTAATTCTTTTAGAGAAGGAAAGGCATCTGAAAGAAAGATATTTCATTCTCTCAAAACTTCTGGAATTCTTCAATGACTTCATTTTAGCACTTTTATCCCAAAATTTTTGAAACACCTGAACACCAGAAGCCAGAAAAATATCAGATACATATTATTTATCGTGAACCCAAATTTCTATTCACATTTTCACTGCTAGATAATAGGCTCAGATGCTGCCTCCAAAGGACTTGCAACTTAAGTGTAATTTCTGAAGGACAAATCAGTAATGGCTGTAAGTGTCATGTCCCCAAGGGCACCACTAGCCCTTGCAGGTCCTGCCAAGCACCACCTGGGACCTTTCCCCACCCTGCCTATGGCCATAGGACCCCATTTCAACCCAGCATGGGGCCATCAGTCCCTGCCTCAGCTATGCTGCAGGGAACCCTGTGCCTAGACCCATGCCCAGCCTGGATCTTGCCTTGACTGGTTCCCCAGGTCAACCTTGGACCTGACTCCTTACCCTGCCTGGCTTGACGATCATTGGACGGTGTCAGGGTCCTGTCCCTGTCCCCAGCTGAGCCTGGATGGGGTGGATGCCCCATCAGTGAGAGTATTGCCCTGCCAGCTCCGCAGTGCCCACAGCTCCTCGTTCATCCTCCCCCATGGGGCAGCCCCACTCCGGCTGTTCCCTGGCACTGAGAGTGGTCAGCCGGCTACCGATCACCCAAAATTCCTCCTCAAGCACCACCTTCCCTTTTGATTTCTGCTACTGTCTTTAACAACAGAAGTCAGCAGCAGGCAATTGATTTAGGGTAGTGTTCCCTCATGCTCTCTCCCATCCTGACTTTGGTACACTTTTCTCATCATGCAGCACGAAACAGGTTTTCCAAGTGAAGAATCAATCTGTGCTCAGGGAGGAGCAACAGATCCTATTCACTTGACGTCCACAGATGTTTGTAATAACATTATAAGAAAAGAAATGTGGAATAAAGCACTGAGAAAATTGACAAGGTGGAAGGAAAGACAGTGATCCAGATGATGAAAAATGGAAAGAGAAAAAACTTGTCTGGGCAAACAGCAAATGAAAAAAAGAGGAAACAAAACAAGAAAAGAAAATGGGAATGACAAATAAACAACAGTGAACACATTAACAGCATGGAGAGAATGACAAATGACAACATGAAGGAAAGTGGAAATCCTCAGTTGATAAACATACTAGAGGTAATATACAACTGTCAAAAATGTGACTTAATAAGTAATATTTATCCATACTAATTACAGGGTGTCTTTGGATCAAATATCCAGTTATATTCCATTACTTTGAATGGGGTGAAAGGACAGGAAAAGGGAAACATTCATTATTGACCTGGAATTGAATTTGCTATATGATTCCATATATAGGAAATAAGACCAACAAAAGTTAACTTTGTGGGTATTAAATCCACTCACACAATGTGTTTTATTTTCCCCTGTACCTTAAGAAGAGCATACACTTTGCATTTCTGATTCATGCACACACAGACATTTAGATTTTAAGGATCTTGAATCCATAAAGAAACATAATGTTAGCTAACGCACAGAATATAGCTAGTTCTCTTAGCCCCGCTGTCTGACCTGTAACAGACCTGCAGCCTTTGCTAACCAGTGCAAAGACATAAACAAACAGCAGATAGTGACAGGTGCATTAATACAGTCAAGGTATATACCATAAAAGAGCAATTCTAAGATGATGTCAGAATAAAACCACTATTTATTGTAACATGCTCTGGTTATTAAAAGTTATTGTTGTTAGCCAGTTAAATGGCAACAGAAGCCATCAAAGTTTTTAATAATTTCTTATTAAACAGGTCTCTTCAAAAAGTTTACATAAGTAATAAATTATGTATGACCACTGTATACAATAAGGCTTTAAACTGAAGTCTCACGAAGAAAATTGTTTTGCAAAGACAGTGTTAGGCAGAAAATATCCCACTTTTCAGTTTATTGACTTATTACTAGAGAAACTACCATTTTCCTAAGGTTAGTTTCACACATGAAATACATACACTTTCATACACAGAGAGAAAGATACACGGAATAATTTTTGGTAAGAGTATCAAGAGATAAGGAAGAAGGCATGCTACCTCTACATCCATGAACTAGCTGATTTTGCTATGTGCGTCATTAAAAAGGCTGGAAGATGTAAACAGAGAGTCACAAATTGCAATTAGAGATTAATCTTAAATAGAAAACTGTATGCATTTTAGAATGTTTTTAGATATTATACCAAAAGCAGTTTGATGCACCTGTATATGTATCCAGTCAGCTATTTAATACACCTTTACATACTGAGTCTACAGGAAGAAAAGTACTTGTCATGTCTTTATTTATTATCACTAATAATGTTGTATTTTTTCCTTTTTTTTTTTTTTTTTTTAATTGCTTCAAGTGTTATAAAAATGTGTACAAACTTGCTTGCAAAAACTTGCTAGTTGGAAGCATCACCCACTCAAACAATCAAAAACGATCAATCCAAACCAAAATATTCAGGTTAAAATGGCAACTTCTGGCAACACACGAAGAGATATCAAAGAAGATCTGAAATCACATACATTCATACATGACTCTTTATTGGCAGAGGAGTGTAATTTGAGGCTAATGAGACACTGATGACCTTTGAAGTAAATGCAGATTGAAGTTAACATGGATGTGCATCTACTAAAAACACCACTTATACTCGATTATAAATTTATGCCTCAAGCCACACTTAGAGATGCTTAAATAGTCTATGAATCAGGCCTTCAGGGCTAACCTGATGGTTTCCAGGATCTGCAGTTAGCACTTTTTCAACTTGAGCAGATGAGAATGTCAGTAGCTTTATACTAATTCTGTATCTGCTGGGGAAATATGAGACATGGCTTAAAAGTCCTCTTTGGTCCAGGGTAGAATAGCAAACTCTAAAATGATTTCAAGTTTTTTTGACCTGCTTGTCCAGGTCATAGACAGTCACAAGAAAATCAAGCACAAATATAAATTATATGAGCACAGGAGGCTGAGGACAGCACAGATTTCCTGGGGTTTCTCAGGCTTTATCTAAACTAACTAGTGCACTACTCTGCACCTCAGCTTTCAGTCGCTGACCACCTTCTGTATCTGTCCCTCCTTTCTGCTCAAATTTCCTGGAGCAAGGTTTTTGATGTGTATGTAGGTCTTATCTCAATACAGAATCAGGGTTAAACACCGACATCCCCCTCTTTAAACATATGCTCTGAAAGCATACAGTTGGCTTGATTAGCTGAACCCTAAGCATCACTGGCTAGTCACCAGAACAAAAATAACAAGTAATGTAATCCACAAAAATTCAGATTCTCCTCAAAGTGATATTTTGTACAGTATTTAATGCA